GGCAGGTGAGTTGTTACACACTCCTTAGCGGATTCCGACTTCTATGGCCACCGTCCTGCTGTCTAAATGAACCAACACCTTTTATGGTATCTAGGTGAGCGAGCATTTTGGCACTTTAACTTTGCGTTCGGTTCATCCCGCATCGCCAGACGAGCTTACCCCGTATGGCCCACTAGCAACTTGATATTCACATCCACAAGTTCAATTAAGAAACCTGCAGGTCTTACAGATTTAAAGTTTGAGAATAGGTCGAGGAAGTTTCTTCCCCGAATCCTCTAATCATTCGCTTTACCTCATAAAACTATCGTAAATAAGTTGCTGCTATCCTGAGGGAAATTTCGGAGGGAACCAGCTACTAGATGGTTCGATTAGTCTTTCGCCCCTATACCCAAGTTTGACGATCGATTTGCACGTCAGAATCGCTACGAGCTTCCACCAGAGTTTCCCCTGGCTTCACCCTACTCAGGCATAGTTCACCATCTTTCGGGTACCAACATATGTGCTCAAACTCAAATCTTTCACCACGAAGGTTCATGATCGGTCGATAGTGCCACACCGCAGACCGAAGCCCGCAGCATTTCCTACCTCAGACAACTTACGCTGCCCTTCACTTTCATTTCGCGCTGGGGTTTCCACACCCTAACACTTGCACACATGTTAGACTCCTTGGTCCGTGTTTCAAGACGGGTCAAATCGCTCCATTTCGTCAACGTCCCGAACGGCAAACAAGTTAAAACCCACATCAATCCACACACAACACACACGCATAGCAAGCTATCCGCACACGGCGCACACAGAGACACAGGCCCACTCAAAAACACGTTGTAGGCACCTCAGTCCCAACCGCGACTACTCGTCCACCAAGATATAACAGACAAACGCAAGCGTAAGCCCTACCTCCTCGGCGGCCATTTCCCGCAGCATACGAACTGACCTTGACGTCCCACCGCAGCACAGGGCACCAGCAAGCACACACAGCACACACGCCGAGCGCAGCCAAAAAAGCCGCTGCCACAGCACACGCACGCACACACTCGCCAATGAAATATACCACGGATTATAGACACTGGAAACGATTCGGTTCCCTTTCAGCAGTTTCAGGTACTCTTTAACTCTCTTTTCAAAGTTCTTTTCATCTTTCCCTCACGGTACTTGTTCGCTATCGGTCTCGCACCAATATTTAGCTTTAGATGGAATTTACCACCTACTTTGCGCTGCATTCCCAAACAACGCGACTCAAAGAAAACGGATCGTACGCACGAGCAACTCAGGGATGAACGGGAGTATCACCCTCCATGCTGTCCTCTTCCAAGGAACTTGCCCCAAGCGCCCACACTGATCACGCCTCTATAGACTACAATTCGCCGCGCAAAACTTGCACGGAGATTTTAAGCTTGAGCTCTTCCCGCTTCACTCGCCGTTACTAGGGGAATCCTTGTTAGTTTCTTTTCCTCCGCTTATTAATATGCTTAAGTTCAGCGGGTAATCTTGCCTGATATCAGGTCCAATTGAGATGCATACCGAAGTACACAACATTTCCCAAATGGATCGACCCTCGGCAGCCGAAGCCGCCACTCTACTTCGCAACAGCAAAGCCGATTCAAATGCCAAGCTAAAGAGCCATGGTTCACCAGTCCATCACGCCACAGCAGGAAAATCACCCAATAAGCGCATTGTTCAGCCGAAGCCAACCATACCACGAATCGAGCATTTCTCCATTAACGCCGCAGCAGACAAACCGGTCGCCAACTCGCTACAATAGCAGCGTCCACAACCAGCAATGCCACCACTTTTGGAGCAAAGAGAAGTACAGTTTAGTACATTTAAAAGGACTCGCAGTCGGTCCGAAAACCAACCGCAAGACACTTCACATCTGGCATCTCCTCCACCGACTACACGGAAGGAAGAAAGCCAAGTTTGTTGTACGGACACTGATACAGGCATACTTCCAGGACTAACCCGGAAGTGCAATATGCGTTCAAAATTTCGATGACTCACTGAATCCTGCAATTCGCATTACGTATCGCAGTTCGCAGCGTTCTTCATCGATGTGCGAGCCTAGACATCCACTGCTGAAAGTTGCTATCTAGTTAAAAGCAGAGACTTTCGTCCCCACAGTATAATCAGTATTAAGTAAAGGGTTTAAAATAAAAAAGCTACTAGCTCAGACCGAAGTCCAAACGCTCGCCTTTTGATAGGGCTCGCCCAGCAGTAGCCACCAGCAATAAAGCCAGCAGCCGCCGCCAAGTAAGACCCCCAACTATTGGGTTGAAACGGTTCACGTGGAAAGTTTTTAGGTGTGGTAATGATCCTTCCGCAGGTTCACCTACGGAAACCTTGTTACGACTTCACCTTCCTCTAAATGGCGAGGTTTAAAAAAGTTCCCATCAATCCACTCGCAATAAAGCAAACAGACTCACGGTCCCAATTTTTCACCGAGTCATTCAATCGGTAGGTGCGACGGGCGGTGTGTACAAAGGGCAGGGACGTAATCAATGCAAGCTGATGACTTGCGTTTACTAGGAATTCCTCGTTCAAGACTGAAAATTGCAACAGTCTATCCCTAGCACGATGCGCATTCACAAGATTACCCAGACCTATCGATCAAGGTTGTATACTCGTTGAACGCATCAGTGTAGCGCGCGTGCGGCCCAGAACATCTAAGGGCATCACAGACCTGTTATTGCCTCCAACTTCCTTTGGTTTGATACCCAAAAGT